ACCATCACACTGACTCAGTTACACATGGTGCAGCAGGTCCTTCAGCGCTTCGGCTTCTCCTGGTCCTCCCCACAGCACACTCCTCTGGCTACAGGTCACTCGCTCTCAGCTCCACCTTCGGACGAGTCTGTCGAGCCGAGTGGTCCTTACCCAGAGCTAGTTGGCTGCCTCATGTACCTGATAACTTGCACTCGTCCTGACCTCGCGTACCCTCTTGGCCTCCTGGCTCGCTACGTGGCTCCTGGTCGGCACCGACCTGAGCACATGGCTGCTGCTAAGAAGGTACTGCGCTACCTGTGCAGTACATCAGGCATGGGGCTAGTGCTTGGAGGACGGAGTGAGGTGGTGATCACTGGGCACTCAGACGCGTCTTGGGTTGACGACCAGACTACATAGCGGTCGTCACAGGGTTACACCTTCAGCCTTGGCTCTGGCTCAATCTCTTGGCGTTCTACACGCTCGTCTTCTGTTCTCAGCTCCAGTTGTGAGGCTGAGATCTACGCCACCGCCATGGCTGCACAGGAGCTACGCTGGCTCACCTACCTGCTGACTGACTTGGGAGAGCGGCCTCATTCTCCTCCAGTTCTGTACGTTGACAACAAGGCGGCCATTGCCTTGTGTGAGGAGCACAGACTGGAGCACAGAACGAAGCACATCGCTCTGCGTTACTTCCTGGCTCGAGAGTTGCAGCAGCGAGGTCAGCTTCGTCTTCATCATGTGGCCACTCGGGCCAACACTGCTGATATAGGAACTTCCGTCTGGTGATCATCAGCGCTTTTGTACCCTATTAGGCCTTGTGCCTACGTTTCCACACTTGCTGTAGTCTTTGGTTGTACTGTGATCTCTCTCTATATATATATATATATATATATATATATATTCTGCATGCTTGCTCTTGCTAGGTAGTGATCACTGCTCTATTGTTGTTGCATATATATATACCTCTGCATGTGAACTGGCCTTGTGGCCCTTTGCTTGTGCTCAGAGAGTGTGGTGACGTTGTGATCCACCCTGAGCTTGCTTTGCTTCTCTTGACTGGTCGTGTGACCCTTGTTCTCCCCCACTTTGCCTATGGGGGTGTGTCAAACATATATGCTGCTTATTGTGTAGGCTGTAGTGGGGTAGCCCATATGGGGTACAACCCAAATTAGGGTTTCCTACTTGTACTCATGCATGCTGCTAGTTCAATCATTCCTGCTGCTAGATTCTAACAATGAGAGGACAGGGGGATGAAAGGATTCGGGGATGAGAGGACAGGCGGATGAGAGGACAGGCGGATGAGAGGACAGGGGGATGAGAAGGAGAGGACAGGGGGATGAGGGGACAGGGGGATGAGGGGACGGGGGTTGAGAGGACGGGGGGACGAGAGGACGGGGGGATGAGAGGACGGGGGGGTGAGAGGACGGGGGGATGAGAGGACAGAGGGATGAGAGGACAGAGGGATGAGAGGACAGGGGGATGAAAGGATAGGGGGGTGAGAGGACATGCGGATGAGAGGACAGGCGGATGAGAGGACGAGGGTGTGAGAGGATAGGGGGAAGAGAGGACAGAGGGATGAGAGGACAGAGGGATGAGAGGACAGAGGAATGAGAGGACAGGGGGATGAGAGGACAGAGGGATGAGAGGACGGGGGGACGAGAGGACAGAGGGGTGAGAGGACAGAGGGATGAGAGGACAAGGGGATGAAAGGATAGGGGGATGAGAGGGCAGGCGGATGAGATGACAGGCGGATGAGAGGACAGGCGGATGAGAGGACGAGGGTGTGAGAGGATAGGGGGACGAGAGGACAGAGGGATGAGAGGACAGAGGGATGAGAGGACAGAGGGATGAGAGGACGGGGGGATGAGAGGACAGGGGGATGAGAGGACGGGGGGGTGAGAGGACAGAGGGATGTGAGGACAGAGGGATGAGAGGACGGAGGGATGAGAGGATGGGGGGATGATGGGACAGGCGGACGAGAGGACAGGGGACGGGGGGATGAGAGGATGGGGTGACGAGAGGACAGGGAACAGGGGGATGAGAGGACAGGGGGATAAGAATGATCGGACAGGGGGATGAGGGGACAGTGGGATGACGGGACGGGGGGTAAGAACGGGGGGATGAGAGGACATAGGGATGAGAGGACGGGGGGATGAGAGGACAGAGGGATGAGAGGTCAGGGGGATGAGAGGACAGAGGGATTAGAGGATAGGGGGACGAGAGGACAGAGGGATGAGAGGACAGAGGGATGAGAGGACAGAGGGATGAGAGGACGGGGGGATGAGAGGATAGGGGGACGAGAGGACAGAGGGATGAGAGGACAGGGGGACGAGAGGACGGGGGGATGAGAGGACGGGGGGGTGAGAGGACAGGGGGATGAGAGGACGGGGGGATTGTTGTGTGATGCGATCAGTCGCAATCACGTCTGTCTGCCTCCCATCAAATATTCGTGTGTTGCATGCGCGGTGTGAACGTGTGCAAGAGTTTGTGTTTTGTGCGGTTTGAATTTCCTGAGTGTGTGTGAATGTTATTGGAATTGGGCAGATAACTGAAGTGACTCATCTAACCAAGAGCTTTCCGACGAACCAAGAATCGCCGCGATCGGAGCAAGAACGAGAAAGTTATGATCGTTCGAAGTTTTGATTGGGATGCGGCGACTATGGGAATTTGTGGAGTGACTCAATATGGGGTATAGACTTTTGGGGGTTGGGAAATTCGAACACATCACTGTAGATGCTGCCATGTTGTTGGGAGAAGCCAAACCAAGTTGGCAAGTGGGGTGAGGTGAACTGTAGAGGATGGGAAAATGACAAGGGTGAAAGTTGGGTTGCCTATTGAGAGGGAAATTGTGTGGCATGGGGTTTCCTTGGTTGGGGACTCCTTGGGACCTTCTCTCTCGTCCTCCTCTTCCCTCCCACCTGGTTCATTGCTACTCTAACTCTCTTGTGTGTGTGACTTGTGAGAGAATTATTATTGAGTTAAGTTTCAATGGCAGCTTACCCCCTAGTGCGCCAAAATCTATAACTCGAGTTATACTCCACCTTTTGACACGATTCAAATTGGGAAATGTAGCTATGGTCTAGAGCTACAACATACTCGAGTTTGAGATAATTCTAACAGTGCAATTTTCGTCGACGGCGTTTCTTGTGAAGTCGACATTTCTGTCCAGAATTTCAAACCAACGATTTTGAGAAAATTGGCCTCCTAATCTTCATAGACTCGATCCTTAATCTCTAACAGGGATGAGAGGACAGGGGGATGAGAGGACAGGGGGATGAGAGGACGGGGGGATGAGAGGACGGGGGGATGAGAGGACAGAGGGATGAATGGACGGGGGGATGAGAGGACGAGGGGATGAGAGGACGAGGGGATGAGAGGACAGGGGACAGGGGGATGGGAGGCCGGGGTAATGAGAGGACGGGGGGATTTTTCGCGGGAGGGGAGGATGCCGGCGGGAGGGGGGATTCCCGGTCGACACGGAGGGCGATGGCAGGGGAAGCGTGGGCGACGGTGGGGGGAAGCGTGGGCGACGGTGGGGGGGCGACGGTGGGGGGAAGCGTGGGCGACGGTGGGGAGAAGCGTTGGCGACGGTGGGGAAAAGAGTTGGCGACGGTGGGGAAAAGCGTTGGCGACGGTGGGGAAAAGCGTTGCCGACGGTGGGAAAAGCGTTGGCGACGGTGCGGGGAAGCGTGGGCGACGGGGAGGAAGCGTGGGCCACGGTGGGAGGAAGCGTGGGGGACGGTAAGAGGAAGCGTGGGCGACGGTAAGAGAAAGCGTGTGCGACGGTAAGAGGAAGCGTCGGTGACTGTGGGCTGAAGCGGGGTTGACGGTAGGAAGAAGCGTGGGCGATGAGCGTATGTGAATGTGGGGGAAGGCGTGCGCGATGGGGTGGGGAATTGTGGGTGCTCCCAGGGAGCAGGAGGCAGTGACGGTAAAGGGGAAGGGTGAGCGAAGGTGAGGGAAAGGGTGGGGGGAAGCGTGTGCGTGTGCGTAGGGTACGCAGAAGGCGATAGGACCGAATGTGATGTTTGAGGAAGGGCGATGCCAGGACGACCGAGAGAGGAAACGCGATACACCGTCGCGTTGCTGTCATACCGAGGCGCTACGACTGGAAAATAAGTCGGGGTGTCTACGTTTGCCGAGTGAAGGACTCACGGATGCGGAAGGCTGGGGATACTTTCGCGACGCGCGAGTGTGTGCTTCTTTCTAAGCCTGAGACTACTACTCGCTGCAACGACACTTAGAGAGAACGTGGCGGTTGCATTAGAGGAAACATAGTGGTCGAGGCTCGGTTGCAACTAAAGTCGCCAAAGGTCCCTGATTCGTGTCTTTGAACAGAGCGCTTAGACTGAAGATTGCCCGTATGTGACGGGAGAACGACTACTAGCGTGCCTCATAATATGCGTGTCCAAGCGGTCCCGATGGTTTTCAAGTTTACTCAAGGTGAACAGTGTTTTCCTCTGAGGCGTTTTTCCTGCTGGTTGTTCTAGTTCATCGCTGACCAATCACGGATCACCTCTGCTGCTTGAAACCGACCGGTTGTTCTAAACCACCTGGTAACATGGTTATTCACGAAATCAACTTCAAGAAACTTGAATTCAAACAGCCACTCAATGAGGGAAGGTAAGGGCGTGTAAAATCCCCACACGTTATCAAAAAAGGGTTGTGGCTGAATTTACGACGACCAAATGGTCGTCGTATCCTTCGCGAACAACGACGAGGTGGCCGAATCCACGTCGACGCTTTTACAGCCTCGCTTTACAACTTTTCGGAGTTTACAAGTTTGATGGCTGGTTTACAGGCCGCCTCGACAAACCTGTAAAATTTGCAATGGGCGAATTGGGCGACGGAGTCGCACGGATGAACCACCAGATGGCACAACCCACAAGCACTTCTGGGATTGGGGGCTCACACACGCAATCACGACTCCGTTTACACTCAGGCATCGTCCCATGTTTAGCCAAGCAACAAGTCCCACTATAACTAGGGAACTTCCATCCCCTCAAATCAGACGCCTAGCAATGGATTCCTCTTTCACACCACGGGCGACAAGAACTCTTGCAGCAGGGGTGGTACAATGCGTAATCATGCCATGGATTGCTACCGTCAGCCTTCTCATCCCGATGCTCGTTGACTTCGCCGACGATGAAGATTATCAAATGTTCTGGCGCAGGGACCGTACCATCCAGCGTGAAAGATGGATGGACCGTTTCCTTCACCTCTCGCCAGAGCATCTGTACGATGCTCTCCGGGTCGACCGGAATGTCTTCAGCTACCCTTGCCGCGCCTGGGCACATCATCTCATCGGCACGGGGAAGAAGGCGTGCAACGTCATGCTGCATGTCGCCATGGTGCTTGTGCGGTTTGGAAGCGGGATGACATATCGTGAGCTCGGCCTGCTATTCGGCTACAGTCACACCCGCGTGCATCAAGTGGTCCAGGCATGGATCGAGTTCAACAGCGACTACCTCATGGAGGAGTGGATACGGTGGCCAAATGAGGACGACATGGCGATGTCGGAAGATGACTTCCAATTTGACAGCGGCATACCTGGGATTGTTGGAGCAATGGACGGTACGTACGTCCATACATGTGGGTGGGGACCTCATTCCGAGGAGTTCAAAAACCGCAAAGGTTTCTTCAGTGTGATTTTGCAACTAATTGTTAACGCTAATGGGTTGGTGTAGAGTTTGCTCGCCAGTTGGCCCGGCTCCGTGAACGATGCCAAAGTTTTCAATAATTCAAAAGCAAAGAGACGCATTGAAGCAGGAGGCATTGGAAACAGGGTGATCGTCAGCGACGCCGCCTACGGTTTGAAGGACTACACCTACGTCCCCTACCGAGCTACTCCCGGCCAGCTTCTACCCGATGCGCAGGCCGTGTGGAACAAACAACAGTCAAGGGCCCGGAAGATAGTAGAGCAGGTGAACGGCCGCCTCAAAACGAAGTGGCGAATCCTCGACGGCCGCATGGAGTGCCATCGCCGCCACGTGCCCGCCACCATCGCGGCCGTTGTCACCCTGCACAATATCGAGCTTATTCTCGGGACGCGCTACCGCATGGAGACTCCCTACCCCCGGAACTGGTGGTGGCTCCGCGGGCCGACCGCTGACCTTGTTCACACGGGGCGGGGGATCGAAGGATTCACGGCCGTTCATCGTCGAAATCGATTTTGCGCTTACCTTTACGCGTCGTGGCGTCTTGGTCATCCCGAGATAACGCGTCCGCTTCTCGGGTACGTTCGAAGAGTTGTGTCATGGTTGCTTGAACTAACGTCGTCAGTTCCTTTGTCATCTCTCTGCAAACTTCCCGCACCCATCCGCGCTCGGCATTGCGGCGCCCCCTAGGCACCGATTCCTCTTCATCTTCGTCTTCCTCTTCTTATTCCGCCCTTGCAAACGCCGGTCCCGCCCTCGTCGTCGAGCGCCCACCGCAGAGAGACCCCCCTGGACCGGCGTGTAGCGCGGATGCAGCTTTGCGTGGCCGAGGAGAGCCACGATGACGCCGGGGTGTGGGCATAGAAGTCGCCGGCTTCGCTGCCGCAAGGGTTGCTCGGCGCGCGGGGGATTCGTGAGACCTCGTTGTAGTCGTAGGGAGGGCTGGCGGGGCGCTCTGAATGAGTCGTAGACCTGCCGAGTTAGAATGGGTGGGTGTGCTGTGTAAAATGTTTGGATTACTTACCTGAGTTTGCCCCTGCCGTACTAGTAGAAGTAGGTGTCGCTGGCGCAGCCGGCGCAGACGCTGCAACGTTGGTACTGGTAGGTGGCTGAGTGACAGATGCGCTCTATCCGGCGACGTTGAGCGGTGGCGCAGGTCCGGGGATGACAGGCGCGTCAGTAGGCGCTTCCGCCATGTGGGTGTCGGCAGGCTCGACCATGTTTGCTGGTGCGCTGTCTACTGGGGGGTCGTCTGGCCCACTCTCGATTGTGGCGGTCGGCCGAACCGTCTCTCGGTTCCGCCAGAGCTGATCCGCCATGTCGTACCAAAGCGGACATCCTTCGGGAAGGCCCTCTCCCGAACGGGTCCACACGCCGCTCCAACGCAGCCAAGCCGCCTCCATCCGCCGCAACTTGGGACGCAGGGCATTGACACCGTGTCGCCATGCAGCATTGCGCGCAAGGATATTGCGATGAAGCTTCACGAACTGATTCTGCCCCTGGATGCCTCGCATGCCCGACTAGTCGTCGCGCATTTCGTAACGCTCCTGCATGAGGAGGAACTCATCCTCCTTGCTCCATCGAGGCATGGTGCTCGTTGTCCGTGCGGTAGCAGTGGTCGCCGTACTCGCCGACTCGACGTTGGTTCGTCCTATGTTCGGATCCAGCTCCTCGTCTTCGACTGCGGAGCAAACTTCTGGAGCTTCCTCGCCCACGCCGTAGTCGTCATCAAGGCCATACGGCGCGTCGGGGCCGGGCAAGTTGTTGACCCACCAGCTGGAGGGTCGATCCCACGGGTTGATACAGCATGAGGACTCGCCTTGTGTCCTAATAGACGGCGGCTGACCTCCGTCATGAGATGCCTGGGTATCTGGACCGTCAGCGTGGTTGCCGTCAGAGGAGTTGTTGTTGGTAGGGCGGTCGTTACCGCTTGATGATGCCATCGGCAATCTAGCTGTGTGCTATTCTGGAATGTGTTTGTGGCAGCATCTGTTTGTGGTTTTTGTACTTTGGGTGATTTGCGTTGGTGGGAAGCGGGGTGGGATGGTGTACGAATGGGTGAGCACACAGGCGGGCCGCATGTCGTGCCGGGAGGCGCATGTGGAATTTTGCGCGGCACACCAGTGTGCCTGTTCCGTGGCACATTTACAGAGTGTCGGCGGGGCAGGTGTCACACGTTTCGTCGCAGGCAGCGGTTTGCGACGCGGTGCGACTTTGTCGCAACGACGGGCCGTTTATGTGGCCGTTTCTGAGTCGACGCGACGACGACCAATGGGTCGCCTTGTAAAGCGGCCATCAAATGTTTTTTTTGTTCGCGAAATTCGCGAAGTTCGCAACTATTCGTCATGAGGTTACTTTCGAACAACCTGCGGATTTTACACGCCCTAAGGTGCGAGCCACTCAAAGGTGCGTGGGCATGCGTGGCGTGGTGAGGTGCCTTTACTGTACTAGGAACGTTTTACGTTCTTGTTCTGCCCTCGCTAGCTGGATGTAGGATGTGTGCGGGATGTGTTCAGTCGCACTTTGGCACACTTTCGGAGATAGCTATCGTAGAGTCGCGTGACGAGCATCACCATTTTGGGCCCAGTTCGCAGGCATTATGGCCATTATCGCCATTATGGGCAGTTTTAACGGGCCTAAAAAAAATGGCCCCAAGAGACAGACTGTAGCTGCAGTGAAACTTCGGGAAAATGGGCCCGAGTGTTCGATTGGCATTAAATGGCCCGAAATTAATGGCATCAACCGAAACTGACACTTCTCAGAAGCCCGTATGCAGCTGCGCTGAAAGAGCGCAAAATCACGGTTCTGGCAGCTCGGACAGCCCTGCAAATCAGCGGTGGACGTCGAAAAAAATCGGGCAAGAGAATTTGTGCGTTCGATTTGTTAGTGATGGTGTGTTGGTGATGTGAGATTTTCCGGCGGGCACGAAGAGGGGTGAGAAAGTTCTTTTCAGTGCAAAGTCTGATTGCCCCGAATCAATAATCCCCCGCATGGTGCGGGACCTCGAAGCCGTTTGGTGCGGCGGATGGAAAAATGGGCCGTTTGCCTGAGAAACAGGGTTCGAGGATGGTTCCTCTGATGGAAAACGCCAGCGTTAAAAAGGGTGTTCGGCTAGCATTCCATTATTGTGTGGTTCGGCGACAGGGCCTAAGTTATCAGGATAAATTATCCTGATTCTCCTGAATTCAGGATAGGTGTCGTGTGCTTCTCCTGAAAAAACAGCATAAGGGAATTTCTTGTCCTGTAAAATCATGATACTTGATATTTTGCGTACTGGAAACTCAGGATAATGCTGTAGGTTCAGCCCTGACGACTCAGGGTTGTGTCGAATATCGCCCTGAAGCGAGATGTACTGTACGGGGAATCTCCTGGGTTTCGGGGCCTAAAATGCAAATGGTTAGGCACATCGGAAACAGGAATCGACCAGGCGAGCTCTTGTATGACAGACTAACTCTTTGCCCGCTGCGACACTTCATGACAGGATGTAATTGTAACTTAAATATTAAGTGGTTTTATTGACACTTCGAATATGGAGACATCCCCACCATTTCGATCCTCCCTAACATAAAACTCGCGAAGTGTACAGGATTGTACGAAATGTAGCACTGAGCTGCCAGGATAAGGTCAAATGCAGCACGGACATTTCAGGATACTTCACCTTGTGCAGCCCTGACAATTCAGGGAAATTTCTGATTTTCTATAACCTGCCTTGAGGCCTCAGTGTACCCCCAAACGAATCTGAGGCCCTGTTCGGCGATGATCCGCTTATATCGAGCCTATATAACCTTTCACGCGCTTATCAAAGAAGGTTCCAGGGTGGTCGGTTTACTGTAGCCCGTACGGGGAAACCGTTTTTTAATGCCTCCCGAACTGGGCCTTGGTCGCCCCCAAATCTCGCTTTCGCCCCAGCCTGATTCTCGACGTTGTGATCAGCTTTCGCCAGCGCCAACGCAAATCACCCAAAGTACAAAAACCACAACGTCGAGAATCTGAGGAGTTTCGATTTGGGAGGGAGCCAAAAGTGAAGTGGTACATTACCTGCGCGGGAGCCAGCGTGAAGTGCACGGGAGGCAAAAACACGCAGCAGACGCGTGAAGGGCATCGAAGGGCAAGGCGTGGGGGGAACTGACGTGAGAAGGGCAAGACGTGGGGGGAGCTGACGTGAGAAGGGCAAGACGTGGGGGGAACTGACATAAGAAGGGTGTAAGGAATTTTCTCGAATTCCTTATCGGGGTTGACTGCTGCGCGTACAACCCGATTTTCGGAGTTCGCACGTTCGGGCGATTTCCACGCTGCCGAGGCTCCTCGCGTTACCCTCGGCATTCCCATCGCCAAACCTACACCCAACCTCGCTCGTCCGAGGTTTTCTCCTAGCTAGGCTAGCCCTACATTAGTCCTTGCATTCATTGTATTCTCAGTTCATTCAGTCACAGCCTCGTTATTCGTTTACCTGCGCACTCTCTTTTACAACTCATAACACCTGGTATCAGAGCTACTTTCCTAGTTCACCCCGCTTTTCGAGGGTAGTTTGGTGGCATAGGGTGTGGTTGGTTTAGTGACTACACGACGGTTGGCTGCAGAGATTGTTAAATCAATCCTGCCCGACTCCGATAGTTCGTGTTTTCACTTGCCGGGCGGCCACGGGTACCCGACTGCCCACCAGACGTAGTGCTAGGCACATGGATCAGGAGGCTATTAACCGGCTGATGGCGCAAGTGGCAGAAATGGCGAGGGGCATGGAATCACTACAAGGGGAAGTGACAACACTGAAGGAGGAAAACGCCGAGCTACGCCAGACGCGAGGTGAAGCGCGTCAGGCGTCGCCTGTGGACGAAGGCGAGGGCAACAGTCAGGCGATGAGCAATCCGCTGGATGCGCTCACACGTGACTTCGAAGAAGAAGATAGGCAGCGAGCGGCAGCAGCGCCAGTTGCAGTTACGACGATCAAGATCAAGCCCGCCAACCCGCCCCCGTTTAACCCTACGGACAAAACGACTACAGTGAAGGGGTGGCTGTTCGGGGTCGAGGTCTTCTTCACGGCAGCCGGCGTTAACGACGATGCCACGCGTATTAATTACGCGGTTTCGCTTCTTCGAGGGGCAGCGCTTGAGTGGTGGCGCCGAACCTTGGAAACAGGGACGCCGACACGTGTGACACATGCGGCAGACGGGACCTCTACAGTGGTTCATCAAACGACAGAACCTATCTTCGGGGTGACCAAGATTCGCACGTGGAAGGAGTGGGGCTCAGCCTTGCGAGATCGTTTCGAGCACGTATCCGCCTCGGAGCAAGCTCGCATGAAGCTGTGTGCATGGTCGCAGATGGCATCTGTCCAAGACTACACAGCGTCATTCATGGGCCTCGCCGACCAAGTGGACGATATGTCGGAAGCGGAGCAGTTGGATAAATACGTAAGCAGACTTAAATACGAGATACAGTACGAGGTTCGCAGGGGCCGCCCGACATCATTTCTCGAAGCTGTACGGCTGGCGGAGTCCATAGATGCGCTGATGCAGTACGCGAGAGCAGCTTCCAGGGATGGGAGAAGCTTTCGTGGCCAGACCCATCGGGCCACGATCAACGCCGTCCATACACCCGACCAACCTCCTAGAGGTCCGTGTTTTCGGTGTGGGAAGGTGGCTTACTACAAGAAAGACTGCCGGGAGAAAATGCCGCTGACAGGGGACGAC